ATTCTGTTCCATTGATCTATGTGTCTGTTTTTGTGCCAGTACCATACTGTCTTGATGAATGTTTTTATTTTATCTTCACTTTTGAAAGGCAGCAGTTTTGCAGAATAGAGGATTCTTGGTTGACAGCTTTTTCTTTGATCACTAAGTGTTACCCAACTGCCGCTGGCCTCCATTAATTCTGCTGAGAAGTTACTTGCTGACCTATCCGGGGTTCTGTGGTAAGTGATGAGTCATCTTTCTCTTGATGCCTTAAAGATTTTCTCCTTGCCTTTGACCTTCAGCATTTTTACCATGATGCATCTCATTGTGGAACTTTTTGAGTTTGTCCTCTTTGGAATTAGCTGAACTTCCTGAATGTATAGGCTACTGTTCGTTAATAAATTTGGGAAATTTTCAGCCATTATTTCTTCAAATATTTTTTTCTACTCTTTTCTGCCCTCTTCTGGCATTATATGTATGATGGTGCACTAATGGTATCCCACATTTCTCTAAAGCTCCCTTTGTTTTTCTTTTTTTTTTTTCAGACTGCATAATCTCCAGTCATCTATCTTCAAGTTTGCTAATTCTTTCTTCTGCCAATTCAAATCCACTAATGACCCCTCTAGTGAATTTTTCAGTTCAGCTCTTGTACTTTTTAACTGCATAATCTCCATTTGGTTCTTTTTTATAATTTGTCTCTTTACTGATATTCTTTATTTGATGTGACAGTGTCATCATACCTTCCTTTATTTTGTTAATCATGCTTTTCTTGAGTTCTTTGAACATACTTATAATGGCTACTTTGAAGTCGTTGCCTATTAAATCCAGGATCTGATTGCTCTCACTGGCAGTTTCTGTTGCCTGCTTTTTTTCCCTAGTATATGTATCATACTTCTGTTTCTTTGCATGTCTTGCGACTTTTTTGTTGTTGAAAGTTGGGCATTTTTAAGTGAAATCTACTTCTCCTCCTCTCCGCCCCCCTCCAGTGTGAAAGCCTCTAACATTGCCCCAAGCTCGTATAACCTTGGGTATTCCCCCAGTCTCCATTCGAAGACAGTGGTTTTGACAGGGCTCCCTTTGTACCTTTCTCTAACCACACTCAGCTGCGAAGCTCCACTAATCAAAGGTGATTACTCTATTGTGTTTTATAATGCCCGGGGGGAATAAACTGCATTGATCTAATCAAGTTTGGGCTTTTCTAAAGGGACAATTTCTGTGGGCAGTGTTTGGGATTTGTTCTGATCCAAAGGCTCTTTCCAGCTGTCTCTTTCACCATTTTCTCACCAAACTAGACTGTCTATAGATCAGCCTATATATCCAATGACTCCATTATTCTCCTACCTATTGCCTATCACCACAAACTCCACTGTTTTTGACAGCACCCTTAGGCTTGAACTTTTTCACACTGATTTGCAAATGAAGTCAGTTCCTTTGGGAGAGATTCAAGGAGTTCTCTGTTCTTTGGTCTGCTTCTCCTCTCTCCACCTCTACCAGGCAAAAGCTCAGAGGTATGGCTCTGGTGTTGGGGACAGGTACAATGGTGCCCACTATTTGTTGAGTGACATACCCACTATAGGAGCTGAGTACTTGTGGAAGGAAAGGCAGCAGACCCAGGCATCCTCAACTTGCTTCACGTGGCAGGGAATTTCACACCTTTAAGCTGTGGCAAGGATGACTGGTGCCTGGGTGCCCAGTAAAAGAATTGAGCCCCCACTTCTCAGCCACACTTGCCTGGAATATAACCTTAGCGTAGCTTGGGGGCAGGATGAGAAATACTGATATCCTGCCTCTCACAGGATGATAGCCCTCCTACTGGGAGCTGGGGAGAGAGAAAGCCCTATGTTCTTGGATCTACCAGTCTGGAGTAGAGTTTCTGTCTTACTGAGCTGGGAGTAGTGAAGAAGGGTGTGGTCTTGGTTCAAACACCACACAGACTTATGCTGCTTTACCAAGTTTTAGTAGATTTTCTTAAATAAATGTTTCTCCATTTGCTATATACCCTTAGGACTATTTTCAGAGAATTTAAATGCTTTCTTTTAAAATAATTTCCACTGGTTTTACTGGGGAGTAGGTCAGCAGAGCTCCCTATGTTATCAGGCCAGAAGTAGAACTCTTTTAAGCTCTTGAGGACAGGTTTTTGAGTGGATAGTATGCTTAAAATGCTCTTGGGCATTTACCTAGGAATGGCCTTGCTGAGTCATTTAGTAACACTAACTTTCTGTGATTTTACAGATTATTCCTTTAAACATTGAGACTACAAGGAGAGCAAGAATTTTCTCTCAACCACGCGCACAAATCTGTTTAATATTGCTTCCTCAGCTTATGAAGATAGCAATGCAGAGATAGGCAATTCTGTAGTCTACCCATCTGGAACATGTGATGCACTCACCAGCTAGATGTGAGCAGCAAAATTCACCTTCCACACCCTGTCCTCCTTCCTGATAAATATTACTATCACCAAAACAAGAGGCTAGCTAAAATTTTATACTGTCTGCTCCGTCTCAACAAATTTTGTCTTGTACACCACAACAGGCTTTCACTGAAAGTATGCATAAGTTTTCAATGAGGACAAAATTTCTAAAGAAGACTCTGGGGTCCATCTGGGTATTTTTCAGTGCAGAGATGCTACTATCAGGTAAGGGCATTCTATATTAACACACCAAAACATTTTTTTGTAAAACCAAACTTGGGAGCAGAAAAACAAAAACAAACCAACCATTTTAATTATTAAAATAAATACACATTTAAACAAAATATGCATAGATTTTGAGATAAAAAAGAACATTTCAAAGAGCTATTGGAGCTGTCAGCTACCACTCTGGGTGCTGCCCTCAGATTCTTCAGGATACACACTGCACTCACTTATCACAGCAGTTAGAAGTACTTAGGTGGAAGCATGAGAAGCCCTACCCTGAACAATCACCTTATAATGATAACACACACACACTCACACACAGCATCCTATTTACATTAAAAACTCCTTCAGGATAGAACTATGGCTACTATTCTGCATATTCTCAATAAGCTTATTAAAGCATGCTACTCACAGTGGGGATGAAATAAATGATATTTTAAAGAGATCCCTAGCAGTAAGGCGGATGAGACTGAAAACAAAAGGACGAGGATCAAAGGATCCTTACAGGTCTGCCTGTGAAATCAGCGTAGATATTCTCGCAGGAACCTGAACAGAAGAGCTTATGCTGACCCCTTACCACATGATATGTAACAAGTTGATTTAATACTGCAGTCAGATTAAACAAATACTCTTTAAAAGGTTAACAAGTCTAATCAGAGGAAGGAGCCCTTAAATAAACTGTTTGCCTTGGGGGAAAAAACAAAACAGAAGTAAACTACACTGAAACATGTCAGTGTTTAACCATTTTATCATGCGCAACCTCAGCAATCCACTGTTTTTTAGCCACAATATGTAGAAACTGATATTACATAAAGAAAAGTATAACAACACAGATTCAAACTAACCTTGGGGTTCATTGACCAACATCAAGCATTTTAAGACGCCAGGGAGGAGAAGTTGAACCTCAGAAATGTCTATGCTAGTGTCTTTGAAGAGCTGCAGGACGAAGGCCAGAATAGAGGCTAAGCGAGGAGGGAGCAAGGACCCTTTACACTCCAAGTAGGACTTCCTAAAAAGAGCACAATTTTGTTTTTTCTTCTAGTTAAAGTTTCAATGAACAGAATCAAATGTCATACACTTTAAAGATACTGACAAATTTTACCTCCCAAATTAATAAAGCACAATTAAAAAAAAATACGTGTATTTTACCATGCTATCCTCAAGCGTAAAAATTTAGAAGCAATGACTGCACATCTTTGCTGCGTTATAAGGGCCAAAGCAGAATACAGACACAAACGAAATTTAAAACAACCTGATCTTTAAATGAACTTAATCAAAACCCAAATGAAAACCTAATTGTTAATTTTTTTCCCTTTCTAATATGAGCCCGATTTCCTCTATCAGCTCCTCAACAATGCAACATTTTCTTTAATGTCAAATTTGCATAAAGAAATCTCTCCTCACATTTATTTATTTAGGGATTTGGGAAGGGTCTTATTTTTCCAAATCAGTAAGAGGACTGTCCTAGGAATTAGCTTCCCATTCCAGCTTTACCTCTTTCTTTCTCTTAGGAAATAAAAAAATCAGAGGTAATTTAGGATTTAATATTTTCTCTCAAAGCAAAACAAATTTTTGCATTATAAGTCAACAGAGATCATAAAGATAATTTATCTTACTCATTTTTATCTCTCTACCTCTTAAGCAGGTGTTGGCTCATAATAGGTATTCAGTAGATATTTAAGTGAATAAATGAAAGTGGGAATTGCTCAGTTTCTAAAAGGTCTAGGCAACATGAAAAATTGTCAAATATAGCTAAATCTAAGCTAGATATCCATATGTACTTGCAAAGCAATAAAATTTGCCAAAATGAGCCATGGAAATCACTAAGGATTATAAAGTCTTTAATAAAGTCTTCATCATCATTTCTACTCCATACAGTGGCTTCCAACAAATACTCCATTTTAGTAGATTCATTCAATCTTTGAGGACAAGGGTTTTGTCTTTTTGGTTCACCGTTGAATTCCTAGACTAAACATTTGTTGTGCACCTGCAGTGTATCAGGTGCACGTGTAAGAATGAAATGGTAAATACAGTCTCTGAGGCAAGGGGCTGTCTAGTGGAAAAGTCAGACAAGCAAAAAAAAAAATAAAATAAAAAGGCTATTATAATATCATGTGATAGGTGCTTTGAAAATAACCCCAGAATTCTCAGGGATTCATAGGAAGGAGCCTCAACAAAGATGGGGAACTGCAGGAGTGGAGAAGCATGGAATGGAGGGATATTGTGGGTTTGGTTGCAGATCACTATAATAAAGCAAATGTCACAATCAAGTGAAATGAATTTTTTGGTTTCTCAGTGCATATCAAACCTATGTTTACACTCTGTTGTAGTGTATTAAGTGTGCAACAGCATGATGTCTAAAAAAAACCAATGTATACACCTTAACTTAAAAATATTTTATTGTTAAAAAAACCCTGCTAACCACCATCTGAGCTTTTAGCCAGTTGTAATCACCGATTACAGATCACCATAACCAATATGATAGTTACAAAAAAGTCTGAAATATTGTGAGAACTACCAAAATGTAACACAGAGACATGAGGTGAACAAATAGTGTTGGAAAAATGATGCCAACAGACTTGCTGGATGAAGGGCTGCCACAAACTTCCAATTTGTAAAAAACAGTATCTGTGAAGTACAATAAAACAAGGTATGCCTGTATATCGCCATAGCATCTTGAAGTTTAAAAACTAATTTCATATGAAGCCAGATACTCCATGAAGACAAAGAAAAAAATAACTTCTATTACTGAATCTTCTATTGTTGCTATTAAAAGGTAACAGAGAACCTAACGGGTTTCATTTATGCATCTAATAATAAAATGAAAGTTATTAAGACAGAGAGGAGACCAACAAAACAGGACTTCTTAGTCCTTCCTTTTTCATATTAGCATTCATTTTTTCACTTAGTTGTTCTCTTTTAAAAATATAAATAATGTGTTTTCTATAGTAGAAAATACACTTACTGTTGATCTGATAAGAACTAAGAAAATATGTATCTTTAGGACATGTATAAGGAAAATAATAACTATGTAGAGAAAACAATTTAAAGAGCATTGACTCAGGCTGCCATGAGCAAAAGTCATTTTAGTAAATTCTTAGAGACAATGTTTCTCAGGGAAAATGAAAGTTTCTAAACTACCAGCATCCCAAGGGTTGCCAATACTTTGGGATGCTTTGTTACTTTTAAATAAAGATTAATACATTGTAAATACCACTTGTTTTTAATATTTAGATGTACCTTATGACTTGTATGATGCATTTCTTTAGAGGCGCTATCAGTGGAACAGCGGCGGAGTTTCTCAATGCCACCAAAACAGGGTGTTGTCCGAGACCCGAAACATGCGGGGACGATGGAAGAAACCGCCCAATGTACTGCTCAATAACACTCCCTAGTAATTGGTTCAAATAGGCATTTGGATTTTGGGACTGACCACACACGATACACATGCCCTACAGGAGAAAAAAGAAAAGAAATAGTAAAAGGCAAAGTTAAAAAAAAAAATATCGAGGAACTTATTTAGTCCCTAGCATTAGTATTTATGTCAGAATGTGTCACCCATAATCACGGCCCAACATCAACAGACGATGTGAATATGAGGCTCAGGGAGTTGCTGAGCTTGGGTGAGATCCATGGGGTGGTATCTAACCAAACATGTGTGCCTTTGGGGTGTGCACAAATGAAGCAGGGGAGAAGTGCAAGAAGACAAAGGAAGCTTCCCTCTTCCTCTCATACCCAGAGAACATGACCACCACACTCATCAACTACATTTGTGTGTAATTTCAAAGTAATAAAATACATTTTTAAGTCAGTTTTTTTATGTAGGTACTGGTCATTTATCTGAGTGACACTACAGAATTTATACTAAAAATCTCCCATGGTAAGAAATGTGATAAATTCAAAGAAAAATTGACAGGGGAGAAATACAGAAGAGTACAACTCTGATTAATGACTATTTTAAGATTTCATGTGTCAGGCACTGTGCCATGTGCTTTATATCCCTTACTTCATTTAAATTTCTCAAAAGAATGAGTTGGTTATTATCACATCTCCGATTTCATAGCTGGGGAAACTGAGGTTTAGAGAACTTAAGAGTTCTGTTGATTTAATCCCTTCCATTTGTATAGAAATTAACAAAGTTAACAAAATAATTCCATGTGGATTACAGTATTTGATACCTACAAATAATGAAACCAATACCCTGAGAAATATTTTTTCTGCCATTGTTACTAAATACTGCATATTAATAAAATACAATCACCAACACAATGACAAATTATGTGTTAAAAGTTCATTTATAATTTGGTCCTTTGCAATTAGCAACTAGAGAAATAATTAGAAATGTTTATGTATCCATTTTAGCTGTAAATGAAAGATTATTTGTAATAAAAGTAGCATAGAGCTGTTGACACTATCAAACAACTGGAAAAAAAAGCAATGAATACCTCTCTAAACAGTTTCTTCAATGTTTTTGTTTAAAACAAAGCACATTATTAGATGATGAAGTAATACATGGATATGTTCAGAAAACTCTGAAGAGGAAAGCTGAGTACCTTTAATAAATGAAAGGTATAGCTCTATAAGTCAAGTCTGCCAAATGGATAAATTCACCAAAATTTTCAATTAACCACTTATGAAGTATTACAAGAATTTTTTTTTTTTTTTAAATTAGGCTCCCTCCACACCCAACATAGGATTTAAACTCATGACCTTGAGATCAAGAGTCCCATGCTCTACTGACTGAGCCAGCCAAGCACCCCTAATATGAATTCTTGTTGTACTATTTTGGCTTAAGAGGGCCACAGAGAACACGTTTTTCAGACTCTCCTGCTGCCCAAGATTCCTTCCCACCCATATTCCCTGATTGGCAATACTTTATCTTTCTGCCAGCAGACACACTAAACTTTATTATGTTATGTTATTACCAATACAAAATTAAAAAGCCAACTTAAAATTTCTTAGAAACTGTAAAAATCTGTTTAAAAAAATCCACCTGTGGAAAAGACTGCTAATTACCTAGTCACATTCTGTTCTCCCTTTCTTCCTCAAGTTTCCCTTGTTGAACCCCAAATTAAGAAGCACTTACCTTCAGTATGAGACACCAATGAATAACAAAGCTTCCAAGTCTGTGCTTTCCCCTGAATGACAGATCAATATTTCCAAGTGCCTACCTAGATACTGCACAGCACCTCAAACGAAAGCTGTTCAGAAATCAATTATTACCTGTATCCCCACATCTCCAGAATTGCCCATGTTAGCAACACTACGATCTACATAAGCAGCCACTCTGGAATCTAGGAAGTATTCCATTTCTTTCTGTTTCTCCACAGCATTCACTCAGCAAGTATTTTTAATCAGACCTCCTAAATGTTTCTGCAGTCTGCTGTGCGAGTTCTATACCCACTGGCTTCGTTCAAAACCTTCAGATAATGAACTATTCACTGCCTTCCAAGTCTCCAATGTAACGCCCACACCAACCATCTTAGATGTTGCCACCAGCATCACCTTTCCTTTTTTAATTTTTATTGTTATGTTAATCACCATACATTACATCATTAGTTTTTGATGTAGTGTTCCATGATTCATTGTTTGCATATAACACCGAGTGCTCCATTCAGTACATGCCCTCTTTAATACCCATCACCAGGCTAACCCATCCCCCACGCCCTCCCCTCTAGAACCCTGTTTGTTTCTCAGAGTCCATAGTCTCTCATGGTTCGTCTCCCCCTCCGATTCCCCCTTCATTTTTCCCTTCCTACTATCTTCTCTATTTTTTTTTTTAACATATAATGTATTATTTGTTTCAGAGGCACAGGTCTGTGATTCAACAGTCTTACACAATTCACAGTGTTCAACATAGCACATACCCTCCCCAATGTCTATCACCTGGCCAGCATCACCTTTCTAACATGTAAATAGGATATGTCACTCCCACTCCCCTATTCAAAATTCATCAAAAATCCATCAACAATGCATTCAAATCCCCATGTAAAAGAACAAGTGCAGATTTCCTAGTGTGGCACATGGAACCTTCTAGATGAATGTCCAACCACAATAGAATTCTTTGCTCTTCCCCAGCGTGTCATACCTTCTTAAAGCTCATTCCTTTTACCTGCTGTTCCTTCTGACAGGACTGGTCCTTCAACTCTTACCCACTCTGCTCCTTTACAACTCATCTCCTTTATGGTATCTTCTCTCCCATCTCGTCATCGCTGTCTGCCTGGCAGACAGCTGAGGCCTCTAAGGCAAACAGGGAGCACACTACTTTGTCTATGCTAGTCAGCCTCCTGTCTCAACTTTAATTGCTTCTTGGGAGACTGTGCCTCTTCCATCTTTGTTTTCACGGCCAAACACAAGAGGAATTTAAAACTTGTTCAACAGAAGTGCCACATGTACACACATAACATTGAGATGACAATGGATGGTTTTCAAATCTGCAGTTAGGATACTGTTTTAAGGCAAAGTTTCATTTTTTTCTTTTACACTTGCAAGCAGCCACACTCACTATACCTGGAGATACAAAGGAAGACTCTTTTGGATTGCAGTCAGCATAGGTGCAGGCAGCTCTCTCTCTGGCTGTAGCACAGTGTGTGGCAGCAGTAAACAATCAATGATCCGGAAGAGGAGTTTTTGCGCTTTTGAGGTGGCAAAGATCTGTGCCCATGATTTAACAAGAATTCCTGACAAAGAGGAGTAACAGCAGGTATGGTTACCTTCTAAGCAGAAAGTTTTGCCATTCCACCATAAAATTTATATTTAAAGCACACAGGACCAAGTTAAAGTAGGCAATAGAGAGAAACACGTAGTAGAAGTCAAAAGACTGATGTCACGTCATATATTTCACTAAAGAGACAAATTTCTCTCAGAATTGTGGGCTAAGAAAAACGTACATTTCCTAAGCAATTGGCATTTAATACATATACGCTCAAACGTACCATGTGATTTGGCTATACATTACGTGAATATCACATAATGTGATCACAATACTGATCACATGTCATAATTAATCAGATCTCTCTTCTTGCTTTGGCTGCTAGGAAACTCAGAGGCGAATTTATAAGCCAATTTTAAGAACTCTAGAAGACCATGCATTATGCTTTTATGTGTGTGCTCACTCTTCCTGGGCTTCAGCAAGCTACTACTCCACATTTACTTTTTTGATACCTTTATCTTATATAAAATTTTATAGGCTGTTTCAACCCAGTTTGCAACACAAAAAGATATGAAATTTAATTTAAAGTAGGAAAAAAGGATTAACTGTAACCTTGAAGCAATCACTTAACCTCTCTGCATTTCATTTTTTGTAACTTTCATTTGTTTAATATACACAGTGAGTATCAATTTTGATCCTGAAAGAAGAGAAGCAGACATCTTCACTACATGAAATATATTATGTTTTCCTTCATGTTGGGAGTCAGTTGCTATATTTGAAGAGAGTGGAGCTAAAAATGAGCACCCTTTGTTTAGTAAAGTAATTAAGAGCAGATACCCTGTTCCCATTAGAGTCTATTTCTGCAACTGAGGTCTTCTTTATTGAAACAACGAATTTAAAAGGAGATCATTAAGCACTTGCCCAAATGGCACAGTGGTACATGTACTGCATGAACTTTTGTATTTTATTCCACCTTAGAATGGAGAAGAGATGATAAAATTCAAAGCCATTTCCATAGAACAAAAAGTTTAAAATTCAAGCTCTGAAGGAAAACAAAAATATGCTTATAGAAGAGTATACTGATGTTAAAAGAAAAAGCCCAACCAATAATCACTTCTAAGAACAACAAACAGCAACATTAATCTTCTGTTGTAAAAGGAAATACAATAATCAATCATAAAGAAACACAATGCTCACTTGGCATTATTTTAAATAACGGTGGCTTGCTCCTCATTTTTCCAGTAGGTGGAAAACTGGTGAATGACAGCAATGTAAGAAGAACTCACATCCTAACTAACATTAATGAACCCGTAAAGGGAACTGCCATCACCACTGACATTTGAAATGATTCATATCAGTCTTAGGTGTCACACAGGAATGGACTTATAAAGAGCAAGGGCCTTCCAACCAAAAATGCTATTATCTACCCTTGTATTTCATCTTTTGCAATGGTTACAACACTTCTGAAGATCTTAAAGTTTTAGGAGTTCATAGAAGGCAGAGGCAATCCATTTGTTTCACTGCCAAATCAGAACCCTGATTTTTTTTTTTTTAAAGATTTGAGAGGGGGAGGGGGAGAGAGAGAGAAAGAGAGAAGGAGATAGTGTGAGCATGTGTGCAAGCACAGGGTGAGGGGGCAGATGGAGAGAGAGAATCTCAAGCAGACTCCTTGCTGAGTGTGGAGCCTGACGTGGGGCTCGATCCCAAGACCCTGAGATCATGACCTGAACTGAAATTAAGAGTCAGATGCTCAACTGACTGAGCCACCCAGGTGATTCCAGAACCCTAGTTTTTTAAGTTTCAATGAAGAACATTTAAGTGTGTGGTATTAAAAACGCAAAGACAGGGGCGCCTAGGTGGCTCAGTTGGTTGGGCGTCTGCCTGCAGCTCAGGTCATGATCCTAGGGTCCTGGGATCAAGCCCCACATTGAGCTCTCTGCTCAGCAGGGAGTCTGCTTCTCCCTCTCCCTCTGTCCCTCCACCTGCTTGTGCTCTCTCTCAAATAAATAAATAAATAAACAAATCTTTAAAAAAATGCAAAGAGAAAGAAATTTTTTAAGTAAAAAACTTTGAGAGAGGTTTAAATACATAGTATAGCTTTCTAAAAAAACCATCTTTTTCCTGGCTACAAAGAAATTGCTTATGTAACTGATGATGCTGAAAATATAGAAAATTGTGGGGAACATACTTGTACAACTGGAAGAGAACTGTACTATAAGAGTTCTCATGTGTTTACTTATTTTCTGTTCTATGCCTTAAAAAGAAAAAGAGGAGGATTGGGATCATTACAATAGGCTTTTAAAAATGTATTTATAGTTAGAAAGTAACTTTGCTCATTTAGGAATGTTAAAAGATACATTATGTACTATTTTTTTTTTTTAAAGATTTTATTTATTTATTTGACAGAGAGAGACACAGCGAGAGAGGGAACACAAGCAGGGGGAGCGGGAGAGGGAGAAGCAGGCTTCCCGCGGAGCAGGGAGCCTGATGCGGGGCTGGATCCCAGGACCCTGGGACCATGACCTGAGCCGAAGGCAGACGCTTAATGACTGAGCCACCCAGGTGCCCCGATACATTATGTACTATTAGCTAGGTTTATAAAATCATTACATTCCAGAAACATTTATTTAGTATATGACATCTTCCACATTGGTGAAGCTCTTCAACTGATGTATCCCCAGTTCCCAATGCAGGCTGAATATCTAACTCAGGAAACATTTTTATTTGTTCAAAATACAACATGACAACAGGAATAGGCAGTTCAAAAGATATGGCCACTATCATGAGTGAGTTTAAAATTTAGTAGGGGCGTGCCAAGTACACAAATAATTATAAAAGCTGGCAAGCTATGAAAAATGTCATAAGAGATGGACAGATGAAGCATAATCAAGGAGACCAAGTCTACCTGGGAGTGTGGAATATTTGGGTTGGGCACTGAGGGTCATGGGTAGAATTTCAATTACAAAGACAAAGGAAAAATGATTGAAGAGAGAATGACCAACAGAAAAACATGGGATGGAAAAATAAGAGATATAAATAGAAAAACCACAAAAAATGATATAAAGAGGAGGAAAGTTGAAGATACTACTCATGAATCAATCCTTTCTCAGAAATTACTGAGTTACAATTAAGACCCCAGAAGCCTTAATCTTAAGTGTGACTTTATGAATAGTTTGCACCTTTCACTAGCACTCTTGTAAGGAGACAACAGAGGTATCCCCAGTTAAGAACTGGCCAGGTAAATAAAACAGTTTTTCTGTGGTTAATTCTTTCCCTCAAGTGAATATGATATCCCCAACCCATACACCTAAAGAAGGTCTGAACCCTCAAAAGTTTATACTTGCTCTTCCTCCGTTTTGTTCTGAGCCTTTTACATACAGAAGACAGTAAATTATCTGTTCTTAATTTTTACCGCATAAATGAGGAACATTGTACCAGTATATTCTATTCCCAGTATCTGAGATTTAGACAAAAGGAAAGAATACAGATCTACCTTCCAGGAACTCAAAACTCAACCACGTAACAAAACAAAGAAGGTCCTCAATCTTCATAAAGAGAATTTTATCCTGGGTCTACATATCACCAATCTGAATATGATTTTGGAGTTATGACTATCATATATTTTATAAAATAAAGATATATCCTGAAATCATACATTTAGCTTGGCAAAAATCTAACAGAAACTAATAAATTATAAGCCTCAATGCCGAAATACTTATTCATCTACATCTTACTATGTTAAATTTATAATAAATTATCACGTATGTTTTTCCCTAAAATTAAGATGCTTTTATTGCTACTATAGCTTTCACTACATTCCACATCATCCATATTTACACATTTTTGCATTCTCCTTTATCTTTCACAACAAAGATAAAAGGTTTCAGACAGCCCAAATCAGGTTTATTCTTATGTTCACAAGATCAAAGGGAGCAGATATAAGGTTTAGGCCACAGATAAATTAAAAAACAAAACCAAAACAAACAAACAAAAAAACCCCAAAAAAACCCCAACTAAAAAAAAAAAAAAACACAACCCCCCCCTTAAATTCTATATAAAAACTTCTAAGGAAATACTTCTCATTTCCCTTTATCCAGTTCCTATTTTTCGTTAGTAACATGGCTTTAGTGAACAAAGGTATTCAAATTACTGACTTCCTCAAGGATGAACTGTGTTGTTATAGCACAAGCACAGAAAAAGATTTCTTTTCTGAAAGGAGAAAACATAGTATTGTGAGAAGCAAGATTTGAAGCATAAATATCTCTAGTGCTGTAATAAATTTTTTCCTGACCTCCTTCATACAGAGCAGACCAGAAAAATAGAAGGGAGTGATGGTTTCCTGATATTTTAAATTCTAACAAAGCACAGATAAGCATTTAAAAAAAAAATCCATTTTAATTATCCAGGTATTCACAATGTGAGTGATTCACAACAGACTACTGACAGCAAATTGGTATCAGGATATTTTGTTTTGGTCATAATTAATATTAACACAAGCATAACAAGAAGAGTTCTGAAAGGAGGTGGGGCAAGACAGGATACACTAGTAGAAAGCCAATATGAATTACTGTGAGCTAAATCATTGTCTTTCAAATTATTCTTATGATTGTATGGAGAACAGTGATTTAGCCAGTGTATTAGTATATTCCTATCTATCATGATACTACAGGTTCAACCAAAGGAAGTTTTAATAATGTCAGAAGTACATACCCATTATCCTATAAGTCAGTTGCAGCCCTGCACTGGAAATTTTTTTTCCCAAGTAAGGTTTTATATATTTTAATATTTCACCAAGGTATTCTAAGGACTTTGTGACCATGGCAGATTTATCAGAAAGGTTCTGCAGATTCCCGTAAGTAATACCAACAGCCTATTAAAAAAAAAGGAAAAACATGATTTAGATTTCCAAGTTTTACACAATACTGACTTTGAGAAATAAAGAAAATTTCTCTCCCCACACACACCCCTTACATTCTTAAGTGTACATCCTTACCTTTCCAATAAACGTTCACAGCAATTAAAAAATGCCAGTGGAAAGAATTCAGTCTTGCCTTTCGTAATTAAAATAAAAGGTTAAAAGAATAAAAAAATCAATGGAACCAATATAAGAAGTTTTATCAAATCATGTCAAGCCTTCCCAATATCCTAGTATACAACTGGCAATTACAATTCCCAAATTCCTATAAGGAAAACCTACAAGCAAGGTTACCAAATTCTTACATGAAAGACCTCTATGATGTTCAGTTCTGTGATATGAACTGATTTTTTCCCCCAGAATTTTCTTTATAAGCCGTTAATTAGATTCTAGCTTAACTTTCTCAGAGGAAAAATGATGAGGTGCAATGGGCACAGATGGCAAAATGGTGAGAAAATTGGGTGGTAGGGAGAAATGTGAGGTGAGGCAGTGAGAGAAGGTAAAATGGGAAGAACAAAGGAAATAAAAGAAAGAATAAGTTGAGGAAAAGTGAGAATAAGCAAGAGGTAAGCAGTCACAAAAAGAATCAAGAGCAGACTGGCTAGAGATGGGTTGGGAGGTTTCAGAAGAGAAGCAAAGTTTTCAAACCATTCATTACTGGGGACTGACTTACAGTGGATTTCAATGACCTAAATTGGACATAATAGTACCAATATACATAGTTATGTGATTTTGCTCCTGCAGCTCTCAGCAGATAAGACAAAGAAGAGAAAAGCAAGTGGTGGCACCAATCCAAGGTTGAAGGTTTGTAGGCAGAACCAAAAGAACCAAGATGGAAGACCGGAGGGATGATGGTAAGAGTAGAGCTGCAGTGAGGCCCCCTAAGGGGTCTAATTACGGTGGAGAGAAGAAGTAAGGGAAGGGAAGAAGTAAGACCTTGAAAGGATGTCGCACTTGGAAGAAAGGAAGTGGAAGGTCATGTGAGGTCACTTGGAGAACTGGAGGCACAGATGGTGATAGTCAAAGAGCTCTCAGATAATCCACGTGGCGCCATAGGTTCATTTAGGTTTAGTCATGGGAGTGGGTCAATGAAGTAGAGCAGGAGTGAAGATCACCAGAAGACTTGTGGAGGAGCTTTGAAATGAGGGATTAGGATAAGTTATTCAAGGTGATATTAAAGTTAGTCATGTTGATAATAAAATGTAGAATGGAGGAAAAGATAAGGAATCTATGACCTGGAATGACTATGAGGTGGATGATGAAAATAGCAACAAAAGATAGACTTGATGAATCTTTTTTTCGATTTAGCTTTCTGCCCTTGGTTCTCTACATTTCTTTTCCTAGACCAGAAGTTCTCAAACTTCTCAGTTCCCTTTTATCCACGTAAAAGCTGAGGATCTTAAGGTGCTTATTATTATTTGGGTTATATCTATTCATATTTACCATATAAAATGAAAAGAGAACACTTAAATTATTTATTAGCTCATTTAAAAATAATAAGCATTATATATAATATATGTTAACAGAGTAAAATCTTTTTACAGAAAACAGCTTTATTTTCCAAAACAAAAAAAAATTAGTGATAATTTTTACATTTTTGCAAATCTCTTTAATGTCTGGCTGAATAGAAGACAGCTAGATTCTCATATCTGTTTCTGCATAAAATCTGCTGCAATATGTTGCAGATGAAAACAATTCAATCTCACACATATATGTAACCGGAAGAGAAAGAAGTATTTTAGTAGATTTTTCAGATAATTCCTCTGATATCCCCTTTCAGGGAATTCCTCTCTGATATTACACCAAAACTTGACAAGTGGTATTTCTTAAAGGTTAACTGTATTATGGAATTCAGAACCATGTCAACGAATATTCTGTACTCTGCTACATTAAAAGCCACTGATCTATTTTGCTCTTTGAATGATTGTTAAATACCCATGCATGCTTTTAAAAAGCCCCTTTGGTTATCTGGAAAATTCTGGCTCACTGAGTTATAAAACTTCCCAATGTGGACACATTTCATTATTCATTAAAAAAAGTTCTATTTGTTAATACTACCACCAGTGTCATCAGGAAAGTCTTTAAGTATCATGACGCTCTCAAGCTCATAATGGCAAATACAAGTTTTCCAAAATTCTAATTTTCTTAAAAGCTCAAATTATGTCATTAGCAACAAACACTGTCAGTTTTTTTTTTTTTTGAAGTGATACTCATTTCATACATTTCTGAGAAAATGTCTGCCAAATACCAAAGTCTGAATAACCATACTTTATGTTAGTTTTTCTTTCAAGATAAAAGCAGTCAGGTCAGCTTGTAACTCAAATTACCAAACAAGTGCTGTTTATTTATAGACAGTCACCTTGCTTTATATGCAGCAGACATGCTTTAAGTACACTTCCCATTGTCATTCACAGGGCGTTAAAGGATGTACTTAAGGGTCAAAATTCAGTAAAATTAATAATTTTACTACTTCATTAAGGATATTCTTAAATGAAACTGGATTCTTTTTTTTTTTTTCTGTGATTGCACGGCAGCGAAAATGATAATGACCACCAATATAATCTTGGGCCATCGTATTGATTTGTGCTAAGTTTCTGCACTATTTGTGCAAATGTCAATACACTTTTGAGCTTGTAAAATTCCTGGAAAGGTATCAGTAACCCCGAGAGGTCTATGAAACACACTTTTGAGATCTATACACTGTTCTAGAGCTCAGTATTTCTTTTGTGGTTAGCCTTCATTTCCTTAAGACTATAAGACATGTATTTCTCAGACTATCTCAGGGACTTCTCCGATGTCATTATTGACACGTCATACTATCATTTCTGTGCAGGAAAGAGTTAACACAGTAGGCCTAGACTTGCTATCTTTAAAAAGGCCTACTTGTAAGTCTGGCCCTTGGCTGGCGAGTAGGGCCTCCGGTTTTTCCCCACCATTTCCTGATAGAATGGCTCACTGAGCCTAAACCATTTGGGGAAACAATGTAGTTTATGCTGAATATCTGCCTCCATTCTGGGGGTCTGGCATTTTCAAAGAGCTACGTGACCAGTCCCCATTAAAAACCGCAGGCACTGAGACACTAATGAGTTTTCCCGGGAAACAGCATTGCAGATGTGTTGTCACAATCCCTCCCTGGAAGAATTAAGCATGCCCAGTGCAGCTCCTAGGAGAAGACCACTGGAATCCGTACCTGGTGCCTCCAGACTTCACCCCATGTACCTTTTTTCTTTGCTGACTGTGCTCTCGATTCTTTCACTCTAATAAGGGATAGTTGTGAGTAAAATTATATGCTGAGTTCTGAGTCCTCCCAGCAAATCATACAGTACTTGGGAATGATCTTGGTGACTCCTCATACAATCTCAAACTAAACCAGTTTAAAATTGGACTCCTCACCTACATCTCCCTTACCCTAAATCATGATGCTCCTATTTCTCCTTAGGGTATCATTCTTCTGGTTAAACACAGTGTTTATCTCAGATCCCTTCAAAAATCCCATAATTCAATTTTTAGTTCCTTCTAAATCTAACTAGTTTCTGGCCAACAGTTCTTCTGCACCTTTAATCTACCGTTACTAGTTTTCTTAAAAAGTCATTTGATCAAATCAGACCTACTTAAAAATTTATAAAGCCTTCATACTGTTCACAGAAGAAAATCCAAACTTCTTAGACCAAGATGCTCTGAATTATTAACCTACTGAATGATCTAACAACTAATTGGCACTTAGCATACACTGTCTTATTATTTTAACCTTTGTGTTTATCTTGTATTCTCAGACAAGTAAAAAGTTCTCGAAGATCAAGGACCACTTCTGGTTTCTCAAATCCCTAAGAAATCCTAGCATAATACTATCTAGCATTTAGCAAACAACTATTATTTACTGTGTGGTGAAAGAACAATTAATTCAGACTGGCTTAAATTAGTAGAGTCTCTGAAACTATTAGTGAAATAAAGGACTTCTACCTCCCTTTCTGGTCCAGTATGGTTCCCAGCGTAAGTGTGTAAGTACAGGTTAAGATTCAATCAATACTGCATAAACAATTACTAAATATTTTTAGGATTTATATGATATCACTAATCGTCATACGATTGTACTTTTAACTTAATGGAAACCAATGGAAGAATTCACATTTATAGAAAGAGCTTATAGGTTGTATTTTTTTCATTGACATTAATACCAAACACTCTGAGGGAAAATAAACCAACTTTTATTGTGAATAGCTTACAAAAACACTAATCTAGACATGTTAACAACTTCAACAAGGCTGTAAAGCAAAGAATACCACATAACAGAAATTCTTGCAAAATTAATATTTAAAAGTCAAATGTTGAAAGGGGACTATTTAGTATGGAGACAAAACTAAACAAATGGATTGGATTTTAAAGCCCCAACCATAATGATATGAAGCAGTTGGTGCTTATGCTAAATACAATAAAATTTTACTGTAAAATTTACTGTTTCCTACAGGGTGGTAAACATTAAGTTGGAACTATTATGGGACCATGTACAAGGCACTCTAGTTCCCAAGTATCTGGAGAATATTGCTATCTAGCAGTTTTAGCAATAAGATACTCCTACAACTGACAGAAGCCTTAGTGTGAGGGTATTATGTAGCATTCTTTTTTTTTTTTAAGATTTTATTTATTTTCTTAGCGAGAGAAAGCGAGCATGAGCATGGAGGGTAGGGAAAGGGAGAGAAAGAATCTCAAGCAGACTCTGTGCTGAGAGCGGAGCCTGATGTGGGGCTCAATCTCACCACCCTGAGATCATGACCTGAGCTGAAATCACGAGCCGGACACTTAGTGGACTGAGCCACCCAGGTGCCCCTATTACGTAGCATTGTTCAGTCATTATTTTTCATTAAATGTAATTCTTTTGGCTGTCCTGAAGAGTGAATTGTACTAAATCACAGAGTCACATTTTTATTCCTCCAGAATTTTATAATAGCAGGCAAACAATAATGATTCAATTTAAAATAATTCATTCTATAGAAAAACTTCATAAACACTTCAAGTTTTTGTGAAAAAATAATTAAAACAGATTTGGACAATTATACTAATAAATGAAAAATACCTCAAAAAATAGAACAAGTGCTTTTGTAGGGTCTTCTGAACTGGATAAATATTCAACTTGAGCCTTTGAGAAAATATTCTTTACTTCTGAGAGTTTAAATAGCAACCTTGTCAGTTCAGCCAACTGTTCCAAGTACTCTTTTTCTGTTGAGATAAAAACATGATAATATTTATGTTTTATTATATACATTTATATTACACATATATATAGATGAGAGTAGGGAATGCAGCATTCATTTATAACATCCTTTTTTTTAAAAAATTCAAATTTCTACATAATTGAAAACTTTCAATTAGGTCTCTAAGGAAAGGTTTTATTTAAAACCAAACAAACATATACTTATGAATGTCCTACCCCAAAAGTTTATTCATGTAAAGCTAAATGATGCAATAAGATATCAAAGTAAATTTGGAGCATTTTTTTCGGTCCAGCCTTTGTGTGATTTATAAATGACCATAAAGAACAGCTTTATGAAAAGGCATGCCCTATAGACAACCAAAACTGTATGGATATTTTAAAAATAAATAAAGTACAAGTATCATTTTGTGACTAATAATGTAGAGCAGAAGAGAGGTAAAATATCTAATATAAAATGGGAGAGAATTATTCATAATTGGATACTTTTTAAGGTGTTAACAGTGTGATATCTGGTTATTTACTTTATAGTTTACTTTTTTTGTGTGATCAGTTTCTTCAAGGTACAAAAATAGCTTGTCACTGGAGAGCAAGTTTTTGTTCCTGGCTTCCAAGGAAACAAGTTCTTTTATCTTTATAGGAGAGAAATTTGTCATATATGGTAACAGGAAAATATCAAGAAAAAAAAACAGGCTGCAAAAGGAAATAAGTTATTATTTATATATATTACAAACATTTTATATAATATTACAGATATATTTTGTATCTTTTTCTATTAATTTATGTAACAAAACAGGAAATTTTAAACATACTTAGATATCTAGAAAGCAAAATGCCTGAAATACTTACCAACTGCCTGTCCAGGATTTATATCAATGAACAAATCATCAGGCACATAGAGGTTATTTATGTACATTTGCAAAACGCAACGAATCCATGATCTTACAGTTAAGGCTTGAAAAGATACACAGCCTGTATGAGAAAGTGCTTCACACAATATGCTGTAAAAATAAGTTGATGGATATTAAAAACCAAAACCTGACAATAATGTTCCCTGAGTACAGAGATTAAGAAATGAAGGAAAACATTCTAACATACCCCACTTATTGGCCTCCCTTATTTTACACACACATTAATGCAGACAGGCACTATTGAAATTAATACTACACATACACCTAAAAAGAAATTTTACATAACTATTCTTGCTTTCATCTGTAATCTTCTAATTTTTAATTTTCCTCTTTCCACTGATGGCACACGTGTAGGGTTAAGCCAAGGGGAAGAAGGAAGAGAGGATAAGGTTAAAATGGGAAAATTGAGGAAGGGGCTAATAACTTGCAAGATGAGATGATAATGAAGTGCAAAGTAGGAAAAAAAATAGTGGCCCTTAGAGTAAATAAAAAAAGAACAGAAGTCATGACCATGTATATAAGAAAAAGTTAAAGACAAAGTATATTTCTGTGTGAGTCTTCTAAACAATCCCATTCCCATTCCTTTCTTTCCTGCTACCCCACCCCATGGGCGGTCATTATTAAAGAATTCCAAAGTAACAACTGAAAATAAAATCTTTCTATGAAGCCAAAGGCCTGGCTGAATCTGGTATCTACCCATTTTATCATCGGGGGTTAGAAAGGATGAGGGTGGTCTTAAGCTAACTATAAAGTGCTAGGTAAAGTCAGAAATTTAAATAATACATATAAGTCATAACTCTAAAAATACTGTTTTGTGGGATGCCTGGGTGGCTCAGTAGATAACATCTACCTTTGGCTCAGGTCATGATCTCAGGGCCCTGAGACTGAGTCCCACATCGGGTTCCCTGCTCTCCCTCTCCCTCTGCCCCTCCCCCACTTGTACGCGCTCATGTTCTCTCTCTCAAATAAATAAAATCTTAAAAAAAAAATTGTTTTGAAAAACTTTGAAAATAAGTTGCCACAAAGAGTACACAGTGTAGAACGTAGGTTCGTCATGTATTACCTATACGACCTTCCTAAAATTACTTAACATCTTTACGTCTCAGTTTCTTCAACTGTTATTATATACCAAATATTATTTTTTAAACTAAATAAGTTAGTTTCTGTAAAAGAGTTTCAGCAACTAAACAAATAAATTAGTTTCAGCAGTTTCAACAAAAGTAACTAATAAATACTAATAATGTTTGTTACTACAGAATTCTCAAGCTAGACGGGATTCTAAAAATAATCCAAACGAAGTTGAACTCCCTTACTTTTTCCCACTGAAAGTCAATGAGAAGTTGACTTAATATCTGCTTGGTGAGCTTGTCAATGAGAAGAATACCTCACCGACTGCATCCCCCTTCTCACTGACTGGCAGCTTGGACAGGAGCTACAGGGGTCTCTTGAGTATTCATTTTATTTTCCCTCATCTTGATATTCTTATTCAAATTTTCCTGATTACATTATTTCTGTTTTAATTTTATTTATTGTGTGTTTTTTCTATTGGGGTTCCTCAGATCTGTTATGTAACAGAGCAGGAGACACAGATAAGGAAACCAACGTTCAGGGCGATGAAATGTCTTGTTCATAATTGTACAAGAGACAAATCTTCAAAAATCTAACTGTGAAAGGAAAAGCTATCATTGAATCTAAAAATACCCTAATATACTAGTATCTTATAGAACCAGCAATATTAATTGCATAATTTCTTTCACAAAGGTGAGTATAGAAAGGTCATTTCAGGATGGAATAAGGCAGTCCTACAAAAAAGTTTTGAAAAGGGTGCTTAAGCAGCAAGGTTTTTGTTTTGTTTTGTTTTTTAAAGCAGGCTACTGCCACTGTCAAACACTGATCTATCCAAAAGCAAAAAACCACCCAAGTGAGAGTAAATGTAGTAAGATCAGTTTTTATTTGTGAAGATTCTTACTTTCCTAGTGTGCTGATCAATCATGAGTTTCTACTAACGTGCATACCTGATATCAGGTCACTTACCTATTTTGTAGGCAATGACTTAAATATCTTGCTACAACTTGGGGCCAGATGATATCATCCCAACCAAAAAGTTGCATCACTGATATAACTGGCTGAGGCTGAAGATCTGATGGAGCTGTGCTGGGCATGTCCATTGCAAGCAAAGTAAAATCTAGATTTAAAATGAAAGAAATTTATGGTGAAGAATTTTTAAAAAACGATTCCCCTTCCCCAAATTATATCAATAGTGATAAAAAGAATTCAGCCACTCAATAATAAAATTAACATTTTATTATTAGTGCAGTTTATTATCTGCATTTAGAAATGCAGAACAAAAAACAAAAACTGAACTAAATTCACGTTGCCAAAGAAATTTATGTAGCGATCATCTAGATCTCCAAGAACGGGTCTAGAATTCTAGCGTTAATCATGATCAAATCTATAATGGCTTCCTCAAATTCCAAATTCTACACCCAATGTTTCTCTCATTCAAAAAACCATTTAAAAAAATGCTTCTAGCATCCATTCTCCAATCAAGCTAATGTACTTGCCACCTGCCACAGAGAAGACTTCAGTCTTACCTTAGACACTGGACAGTCGTCTATTAAAAGGCAACCTCCTATAATCAGTGGCACTCCACTTCCTTCAGAACCCACTAAGCCTAGGAACTAGAATTTCTTTGTTAACCACGTTAAACAAATATCGTTTATTTTGTGATTTCCTGGGAATTCCCCAACTTAATCTGTATTACATTAATTTATGTCTGTCAATAAATTGCTTATGAAGCACTGGTTCCTATGCAGCTCTCTCAAATGGTGGCTGTGAATTTTCCCACCCCTCTCCTACATTTGAGCTATAGATAGAGTTTGTTCCTTGGTCCCATGGCTGCTTCTAGAGCACTCTCCCTTTCCTCCTCCTCAAAACCTCCAGCTTTGACTCTCATGTCATCAGATACCAGCCACTAACTCTCCTGTTGTGTTGGCCTCGTGCTGCTTAGTTCATGTCCCCTCATTTCTCACTAACAACATCCTTTCTAGCAGCCCCTGTCATAATCCTTGATGGCTTTTCTTCTAATATCCTGGCCTCTCAGTTCCTTGAACTCCCCTTCTTAATGAATCTATCTTCCATTCTATTTCAGCCATTCACTCCCATGCTGATACTGAGACTTTGCCATTACCGGTAAGTACGTTCTCTCTGTAATTTCCACTTCCAGGACCCCATTTTTTGGCTCCAGGTCCCCAACTCCCACCAACTATCTGAGTTCACCAGTACCTACACAATTCATTGATCCTACAACTTTTCCCTTGTCTCTCACTACCTTCACGCTTCATCTTTCCCTTTCTAGGCAGCTTGACTGCACGGTCCACTGTTATACTCGTTTGTGTATACTGTCAACTCCCTTGCTTCTTACTTGATTCGTTGTGCTTGTCTGGAAAAAAGCATCTGTTCCATTCCAACTCTTGGTCTTCTCTCCACACGCACCTACGCCAGTATAAATGGCTGGCGAGCAACCCGGCTGACTGATCTCACTTTAGATTTATGACTACAAACTTTTAAGTTGGCCAGCATTCCTGCCACATTACTCCAGTCCATTCAGATTTTTATTCTCCTGGAGGACTACCGCATACCCTCTTTACGCTCTCCGTCATCAGCTAGCACCTCCTCCCCATCCTTACTTTCCGCTGATGGCCTTACTTACTACTTCACAAAGAAATGAGAAACATCAGCAGAGAACTTCCACAAGATCCTGCCACATCTACCCAGACGCCTCTACCTGGGCCATATCCTCTGCCTTCTCTTCTGCTACTACAGATGATCTGAGGCCAAATCCTCTCTGGGATCCCATTTCTCTTGGGCATTAAAACACAAGAGACTCTCTTGCATCATCAAGTTTTCCCTCACTCCAGAACATTCCTGTCAGGATTATAAATATGCTGAAATTTCTCCTGTGCTATTAAAAAAAAAAAAATCTCTTTGACCCCACACCTCCCTCTAGCTAATACCCCCCATTTTCTACTTCTCTTAAATAGTGATAAAAAGATTTATCTACATTTCCCATCTGCAATTCATTTTCTCTTGAATCATCTTCAATCAGGCCTTTGCTTCTAGCACTATGCCAAAACTCCTTTTCAACGTTACCAATGACCTCCCTTCTTGCTATATCCAATGACCAATCTCGGGCCTCATCTTACTTGATCCATTAACAGTATTTGAGCAGTTGATGACTTTCCCCTTCCTTGAAATGTTCTGTCAGTTGATTTCCAGGGCACCACACTTGGTTTTCCTCTTGCTTCACTGGCATTCCTTTTTATCCTACAAATCTGGACATAGGAATATCCTGGAGCCCGGTCCTCAAACTTCTCTTTTCACCAACTTACTCAATCAGCAATCCCATCCACTTCATAGCTTTACTATTTATACACAGTTTCCTAATTTAACCTCTTCCCTGAACCCTCCACTCATTATCCAAGTGCTTGTGCAACACTTTTTAGATTTTTTTGGATACCTAAAAGAAAAAAAAGTCCAATATCAAAGTCCTAGTCTTCCCTCATAAAAATCTGCTCCTGCCACAATTTTCCTCATCTCGGCGTATGGGGGATTCTCTCTTTATTCTGCTTACTATATCCTACTCACTTGGAAATTCCGTCAGCTCTATCTTCAAAATACTTTCTCTACCTTCAGATTGGAAATGGGACCACTTCTCACCACCCTGAGCTACCGAGTTAGCCCAAGCTGCTCATTTTTGAGTTGTTGCAGTCGTTCCCTAACTGGCCTCCTTACTGTCTATTCTCAGTCTCACAGCCAGAAAGATGCTCCTCACTCCTCTGCTCAAAACTCTTCCAACAGCTTCTAACCTCGGAGTAAAAGCCCAAGTCTTTACAACTACACACAAGGCAGAACACAAGGTAGCTCTCTATTACCTTTTGATCATATCTCTTGACTATTCTCTCTCCCTTTCTTATGCCTCATGACCTTTCATGGCTTCCCTATGGTTCGGCAAACACACCAGACATGCTCTTGCCTGTGGACTTGTGCAGAGCCTTGGTCTCTCACTTCCTTCGTTTTTGCTTAAATGGTACTTACTGAGGCCTTCCTGACTATTTAAAATTACCATCTGCCTCTGGCCCTCCCTATCCCTACCCTCTTTGATATATTTTTATTTTTCTCCATAGCACTTATCACCAGATATTACACATCTTGCTTACTTACTTATTGTTCTCTCCCCCGCACTATAAGCTCCATAAGAACATGTAACTTATATGTGAGAAAATAAATTGCAGTCCTTTTTCCCACTGGTATATCCATAATGGCAATAAAAGTGGGTGTTTGAGGCCTTTTTTAACGCAGGAAATTTTTCTCTCCTAACCTATCAAGTCTTTATTTCAAAACAAACCCCAAACCCACACATATTTTACTTTATATGTATATACCATTTACTTTTAGCACCTAGGATAGCTGTGACTAAACTTGTGTGGTATCATTTTTGTGTTCTGAGAGTCAGGATGATGAATGGAAGAAAGATAAGTCATACTGGCTTCTAATGACTGCTTTGGTTAAACTGATTGAATATCAATATTTATTTTCATAGACATTATAGTAGTTGGAAAACTGGTGTCCTGTCACAATTCTTCAATCTGTCATTGTAATGTTTTAATTATGGAAATGCTAGCAGAATTCAAGATCTTTCACAATTTATATCATTCAGTCTTTTATGTAGTGCTTTTAGCTCAGCTTTCCATCATTCACACCAGGATAAAACAAACCTTGGTTTAGATCTTAGGTTTTAAAAAGCATTACATTCAAATGTATTACATACTTTTTTTTTTTAAAGATTTTATTTATTTGAGAGAGAGAAAGAGAGCACAAGCAAGGGGAGCGAGAGAAGCAGACTCCCCACTGAGCAAGGAGCCCGATATGGGGCTAGATCCCAGGACCCAGGGATCATGACTGAGCCAAAAACAGATGCTTAACTGAGCCACCCAGGCGCCCCTCAAAATGTATTATATACTTTTACACAAATTGCAATTAAATACATGTAGTTATACTGATTTCTGTCTATCCGAGTGCTTTGCACATATTTTAGCTAAAATATCCCTTTAAGAAACATAATGATCTGTTCTTAGAAAACTGTATATGTGCTCATATATTCAAATTCTTGCCTATGACATCATGTGATTCAGATTCCCTTAAAGCCTACGGACATGACCTTAGGCTAAGAGTCAAATTCATGAAAAATTACAACCCAAAATAGAATCTAGTAGAGGTCAAACAACATTCTACATATTCGATGTTTATTCTGATCTCATCTGGGGCTTGGTGTGAAGTGGAATTCACACTCAGTTCTTTTGTTCTTCATACAAGTAGCTTCATCTTCTACCTCGACACCTTCACACACAATGTGAACATAAAGTCCTTGAACTAGAAGAAATCAAATGCTACTTTGCTTTCCAAATGTTGTGTGCATAAGGAAAGTTTATGTACATTCAGTATTTTTAAGATTGAAAGTTGTATTTTGTTTTTAGCAAACAAAAACTTAATTTTTACCTCTACTAAGCAGAAAATAGTCAACAAGCCAAAGGAACTTAATTTAACATATGTAATTCTTTTCATCTTTCTGGTTGTCCAAGTATTTATTAGACTGTAATGAAAGAGTTTGTTACCAAGCAAACAGAAGAAAAAATTGACAGAGTCTGCACAATGAGAAGCTAATTAGCCAGTTAACAACGCTGACCTGCAGCTGCGTCCGCAAGTTCTGAGAGCGGCACTATCTGTGACATTCTCTGACTCTTCAAAAATGAAAAGAAATGTCTCCACAGTGCATTGGCAACTGCAGCAAGGTGGCGCTCTTTAGCCGATAATGAAGACTGCACAATTAGGTCCACACTCTCCTTTTGAAGTTCCTGACACAATTGCTGATGCATACTCCTAAAAAGAAATAAAAATATAGCTAACACCCAATAAATGCTTATAAAAATCTTCTTTAAATAAATTTTGGGCTTTTAACATTTATATCATAGGAAAACTGAAGGACCGTTTTATATAATTAAAACCTTTATGCCAAGACATTATGCATTTCTGGTTATTTGATGGATGAATGATGGCATATTAAGCACCATAAAGTTAATGTTAATTACTAATGTCAACCATTAATTATATGCTTTTTAATATGTCAGATCCAAATGAGAAACAGGCAGCTTCAGAATGAAGGTCTGCATTTTGCAACTCATTATGACAAGTGATTTTACTTACAATCTAGACATGAAAACAATTTTTTAAACCATTATCTTCCGAGAGCTTTGAGGACATGGATGTACCAAGCAGAAAGTAAGTACATCTAGCTTGCTCATGTGTAGCATTTTAAACTGAAATATTTTCCTACATAACACTCTGCCAGATACAATCTTGGTACTTTGGTCTAAAAAGATCCATAATCATTTTCACATAGCAGACAATAAAAAGTTATTGTTCTTTATAAAATAGTAAAACATGAATTCAATACTGCCTGAAATTTTGATTCAAGGTTTACTTACCCATTTGCTTAATTCAAATGAAAATTTAGACATTTCTTGCAAATCAAAACTATAATGAGATATCATAGAACTACCATATGATCCAGCAATTGTACTACTGGATATTTACCCAAAGAATACAAGAACACTAATTCAAAGGGATACATGCACCCCTATGTTTACAGCAGCGTTATTTACAATAGCCAAGATATGGAAGCAGCCCAAGTGTCCAACAACGGATGAATGAATGGATAAAGAAGATATATACACACACATGCAAACACAAGGGAATATTATTGGCCATATACAATATACAATGGAATATTATTTGGCCATAAAAAAGAATGAAATCTTGCCATTTGCAATGATATGGGTGGGGCTAGAGTATAATGCTAAGCAAAATAAGTCAGGGAAAGACAAACATGATTTCACTTATATGTGGAATTTAAGAAACAAAACAAGGAAAAAAAATAGACAAATCAAGAAACAGACTCTTAACTATAGAGAACTGAAGGAGGGAGAAGGGTTAAACCGGTAATAGGGATTAAGGAGTACACTTGTGATGAGCTGGGAGATGTATGGAAGTGCTGAATCACTATATTTTATACCTGAAATTGATATAACACTGTATGTTAACTGTAATTAAAATAAAAACTTAAAAAAGAGAAAATTTAGACATTTTTAGATCTTAACAGAAATATAAGAGGGGAAGGAAACACTAAGATTTTTTTAGTGATCTGGAATAGGAGGTGTTTTTGCAATATGCCCAGCCATTAATAATTTGATTACTTAAAACTAAATGTACAACCATAATATTATTCCTGTTTTTATTACTGTCACATCAATTGTGAGTAGATACAAATGCATGGACACCATCCTAAGATAGATTTGCTTTCTTCAATTAAAGACAAAGCAGTGAAAACCGTAGAGCTGAGGCAGAGACTTCCTCTGATAGTAGTATTCTACTAAGAAAATAATTAGTACTAAAAAAAGAGAAATATTACATTAATTCTAACATTCCTGATGTTTTAAATTAATTTAGCTAGGGGAAGTGGATACTCAAAATACCTGTAACAAAATACAGAACTTAGTACATGTACCTAAAGCAATTCCACCGAAAGATCAAACTGGATCCAAGACCACATAAGTAAGGAAAAATTATAAGTTATATAACATGAGGATACTGTGCCCCTTGACACTGGAATTCTTGGATAATCATGAGGCACTACTTCCTACTCCTTGAGGTACTGGAAAAAAAAAAAGTATACAAATGCCTGGGGAAAAAGATCATAGCAAGCAATTCTCATAAAAGCTAACCAAATATCTGCTATATCCTCTCTTGTAAAAATCTGCCTGAGATGCTTTCAACTTGAACTAGTGGCCAGAAAACCATTTCAGGTCCTTTAGCTTCGAGTAAATTGAATATCAAACCACTAAAATCCATTTGGCACCTAACTTAACTGCTTACATCAACATAGAAAATTCATGACCACACGTCAACACGCTGGAGTACAAGTAAAATAGTACCACCGTTGACACAACCTACTTATAGCTTTTCTAAAGTGTACTGGTTTCAAAGAATAATAAATACCTTACTGTATTTGGGTAGGATGAATTGTGCTATTTCTACATAAATAATCCATTTTTTTCACTAACTAAAACCTATTCCCTAGGGGGGGGATATAATTTTTGATCATCTTCTTTGTGCTAGAAATTCTTTAATTAAAGAGAACAATTCTATGAGATAGGTATCAGTAGTCCTCTTTATAGATGATGAAGATGATAGTGAGAAAGTTAAATATATCCAAAGGTCACATGGCTAGGAAGGGCTGGACCCATAATCTGAACTTAAAACTGACTCTGAAGCCCATACTTTCCTCTTACACACTAAGATGCACATTTGTCTTAGAAATTTCAATAAGCCTAAGAAAAGGAGCTAGAAAAGCCACATGTAGCTTTGCCTTGTGAAGAGGCAGGGGCAACACCAGAATTCTATATTGGCAAAAACTGTAAGCGATACCAAGAAAAATGTATTCAAGGCAATACTGAAAAAGGCCAACAAATCTGAATCACTTTTGACCTCTCCAGACCAAAACGCTGAGGTGCCAGGGTGTACAACTAGGAGTTACTACAGGAATTTGACTCAGAGGTCTGAAAAAAACCAAACCACTAGGTTAAAAAGTTAAATTTAGAGATTACATCCTCCAAAGCGAGAGTTAACACAGCAAAAAGAAGTTCCAATTAAGTGTTAAGACATTGACCCAAAATCAGAATTGTTTTGGAAATGTGCATCCACTTTGCATTTTAGTATATGTGCTGCTGGAAGCGAGCACTCCACTTTGCATTTTGGTTCAAAAGAAGCTTTATATCCTGGGAATATGCAAAACACTTTCTGCTTGATGGTTTGAATGTTTAAGCAATATCAGTATGAATAAGAATGATAATCTGCTATTTTACCACAAAACAAAGTTGTTTAACACCTTATAATCATTTATGTAAACTTGAACAAATCAGAGAGGGACAGATGCAGGAAATGTCCAGGATATACTGCACTATGAGTCTGAGGGGAGAATCCAATTTCTGCACTATAGCCAAAATAGCTGGAACTACCCTACCCCTTGCAGTCACAGGTGATTTTTTTTTTAATTACATTTTCTGGATGAGAAAACTAACTACAAAAGACTACAGAAAAACAAATTTATTATATTACATGTGACTGCATATCTGATGAAGGCACATTTACAGAAATGCAAATATCTACAGCAGCTCTGTCACTACAGGTAACATAAATAAAACCCAAAATGGACATGAAATACATAAAGAATATGACACATTCTAGATGTCATGGCTATTTTATGAAATATTTTCTATCTTCTTCAACAAACAGTAGAAAAATCTGAAAGTAAATTTACTGCACAGAAAGTAAAATGTAATTTCGGGTCAAAGCCAAAAAGAAATATCACAATAGTTATAGAACCTCCCAACACTTGGCAAATATTTTGAGTAAAGACAAACTTAATATGGGTTAAAATCATTTTGGAAATTCACACATGTGGAGACAGACATGCATAACCATCCCACTTACATTCTAAAAGATGCAATACAGTATAGTAGAAAATAAAATTTGCTGAATGTTAAGTTATTCAAATTGTAGCTCTCATAGAAAAAACAGCAATGCCTAGCACTCATTGGTATTTACCATGTGCCAAGCACCATGTTAAGTGTTTTATAAGCATTATTTCTTACGAGTTAGGTACAGTTATGATTATAATCTTATAAATGGGGAAATTAAGACAAAAGAAGTAACATGTTGGGTAACATAGCTGGTTATTAGCAAAGCTACTCAGAGCAGTGTAACCTTGAAAAAAGTGAGTAACCTCCCAATTTTTATTTTCTTAAGAGCAAAGAAGAGGAACAATCATTTGCTATATCCATGGTTAGGTTTATTGTGAAGATCGCATGAAATAACATCCCTGAAAATGTTTAGAAACCTGACACTGCACCAAGTAAATACCCAAAGTTTACCTACCTAGTTACCACCTCCTCTTAGGCTTTTATTTTAGCTCTGGTATCCTGCCCCCTTTGGGTTACTCCTCATTATGTTCAAGCACTTTCCTGATTCTTGCATCTGACTATATTCTTTTGCCCCATTTTCCGAGATCTGCTTTCCTGTTTTTATCTTTCCACTTCTTCTTGCTATGATTACACATATTCAATTATCCATTGAAGCCCCCAGAGCCCCGTCCCTACGCAGTCATGCAAATATACTGAGGCATCTATCACCTGAGAGGCACTGAGGCCTGCACCTGACCGCCGCCGCCTGCCAGCCTAGTTTCTGTAGCACACGGCTTCCTAACAGTGTAGGCAGGCTTCTGCGGCTACTTCCTGGACTACTCTGTCTAGGTTCTACTTCTAATCTCCCTTTGCTCCGGTTTCTACTGTAACTGATAATTACAGAACAAGATATGACCTCCTGTACATTACTTTCCTAGTAGTCACTGTTGCATATGTAGTATTTCTAATATTATTATGCCTCAAAAGTTAAAGAAAATTTGTCCAGTGATGGACCTGTGACCACAGAAAAAGCATAATATAATAAATGCAACTGATAAGAGCTAACAGCAAGGGATTAACAATGATTAATAGCTGAATTCCTTTTTTAGTTCTACTCCAAACCTGGCAACTTCCTTCAATCAGTATTAGTGAAAAATAAAATGGTAGGTTCTAAGTTAAAAAGTTGTTTCTAAACCACTACAGATAATTATTCCAAGTATCTGATTTAACTAATAGAAAACTGGATGGGAATCAGATTACTCTATGACCATTTTTAGTTTCAGCTAAACTCCCTAAAAAACCTTAGGTATTTTGGATCCTCTTGTCATTCTTGTTCCCCTCTAAAAAAATAGGGCTCTAATC